AGGTTCTCAGAGCTAGGGAGTCAGTGCTGTCCAAGCCTTAGGCTGGGCTTACGATCTCACCCAAGAGGAAGGGCCTGCCTGGGCACCACAGGTGTACCATGTCCTAGTTCTACTTAAAGCTCCTTAGGGTTTTCCAAGCCTCTCTCTGCAGCTGCATCGCTTACCAGCCTATCACTCCATGCTTCAGCTAAGTATCGCACCCCACAACCCGCCGAGTGTTCCAACAGGTTACGCCCTCCAACTAGCACCTCTCTCACACTGCCATGGGACCCGTGCCTTCACACTGGCCCTGAGCAAGTGCAGGGAAGTGTCTGGGGGTAGTGACGCCAAGCTGTATTTCCGCAGATTACACCTACTTTTACAAAGGCCGGGACTACTGGAAGTTTGACAACCAGAAACTGAGCGTGGAGCCAGGCTACCCACGCAATATCCTGCGTGACTGGATGGGCTGCAACCAGAAAGAGGTGGAGCGGCGCAAGGAGCGGCGGCTGCCCCAGGATGACGTGGACATCATGGTGACCATCAATGACGTGCCGGGCTCTGTGAATGCTGTGGCCGTGGTCATCCCCTGCATCCTGTCCCTCTGCATCCTGGTGCTGGTCTACACCATCTTCCAGTTCAAGAACAAGGCAGGCCCTCAGCCTGTCACCTACTATAAGCGGCCAGTCCAGGAGTGGGTGTGAGCAGCCCAGAGGCCTCTCTGTCCACTTGGTCTGGCCAGCCAGGCCCTTCCTCACCAGGGTCTGAGGGGCAGCTCTGGCCACTGCTCACCAGGGCCAGCAGGGCCCTAGGCTGGGGCCGTACAGCTGAAGTGGTGGGTGCACTGGCCTAAGCTGAGTGTGGGGCAGGGAGTGATGAGGGCTGTACTGCAGGGTGGGTGTCTGCACCCAGCTGCCAGCCTTCTGTCCTGGATAAACTACTCTCTACTCAAAGGAACAGGCCAAGTCCCACCAGGAGGCAGGGACCATGCCAGGAGGAGCCCCGTGGTCACTGCATCCTGTGGTATCCATGTGGCACCATGGCTCCATTCCTGGCGGGACCCGATACCCTCCATGGGAAGCCAGCACTAGCTCTCATCCCCATCTGGGAGATGCTACCAGTCCCAGTCCCCCTACGCCAACACCTGCTGGTCAGATGTCCCCCCATCCCCATCCTCTAAGGCTACAGGACCCCTGCTACCAACACAGTGGGCAACTCACCTGGGTTTCCCCTGCTGGCATTCAGCAGATCCCTCAGGAAACCTGCTCCACTTGTCAGGGTCTCCAGAGACCCAGGATTTAGGGTCACGTGCTGCAGGCAGGGCTGTGGCCCAGCTGGGTCTGACAAAGACCCAGCTGTCACATCGTGAATATTTAAATGTCCTGTCACTACTGTTTGAAGTCCCATTTTGCAAAGGCTGCTTGAGCTGTAGATGAACTAGAGGTGAATGTCTTGGTGATGAGGCCAGTGTGGTGGTCCTCTCCTCCAGGGGATAAGGAACAAGGTGCTGCTCAGGTCACTCTAGCACCCAGGCACCCCAGCAGCTAGGCCCTGCTCATGAGACTAAAGAGCGGGGGGCAGAAACTGACTCCATTTCTGGAGGCCCATCTGAGTTTGTGACCTTACTCTATTCCCCCCCCAATTATCCCTGTCCCTCTCTACTCTCGTCTCTACCCCTGCTCCAGCTTGTGACTTGTGGCCTGGGGGTTCAGCCTGACTGTGAGGCAGAGATGGCTCCAGGGCTGATCCTCTCATGGCCTTGAAGTCAGGGGCTCAGGGCAGCCTTCTGAAGTGCTCAGTGCTCACATGCCAGCTACCATGAGACCAGCTGTTTCTCAGCCAGAAGCAGTGTTTATACCACGAGTTTGGCCTGTGCTGGCCCAGCTCACTGGGCCCATCTTCCTGCATTGCTCTTGGGAGAAGGTTATCCTCAACTGGTAGCAGTCCCAACTCTAGGGGTCTCCTTTTTTTATCTCCTCTGGCCCACCATTCATGGTCTCTGGCAGGAGTTCCAGGGGTTCAGCTTGCCTTGCTCTAAGCCAGCAGAGGCAGCCATGCTTGTCACTGAGGAGCCCTAGGCAAGACCAATGGGTTCAGTGATGCCTACTGGCTCTCTGCCAAAGCCAAAAAGAGGTGTCAGGCAGTCTTCAGGGTGCTGGCAGGGTCTCATGTGCCACCCTTGCCCTCTGAGCCTACACGAGCCTCGCTCCCACTCTGTGGCCTCTGGGCTTTGAGTTGGCTTACCCTGTAGCACAGACAGGGACTCCTGCTGCCCTGGGAGCAGTATTGAGCAAAATTTCTTGTCCCAGAGGCACCTATGTGGGTCCACTGTGTCCCCTGTCATCCTTCTGTTTTCTCATTTTGGCCAAGGGCAGGCTCCCTGGGGCAGGCGGGGAACAACTGCGGAGATCTTAGTGATTCATAGGTTTGTACAGTGTTTTATACTTCGCAAAGCACTTTATTAGCTCACACCTGTCCACTCACATGAAATGCCGGTAGGCCCTGGGAGGCCAAGGGTAACTCTCACTGTGCCCTCAGATGAAACACAGGGAGGTTCTGTTATTCACCCGGGCCATCCAGTGGGCTGGCTGGACCTGTGTCCCATCTGTGGACCCCTCTGGGGTCTGAGATGAAGTGAGAAGTGTCTCCTCCATCCATCTCCTCCTGGCCTCCCTCCCCCACTTCCTGGTCCCTCTCCATTCCTCAGGTTGGTGCTCTCACTTCTTGAAAGCTCTAGGCCCCCCACCCCAGGCTCCCCATTGGTTCCTGGTACTACCTAGGCCAGCTGGGAAAGAGCAGGAGATGGAGGCAGGCAGCCCAGGCTGCAGATGTGAGGGATGCAGGGCCAGGCCCAGAGTGGGCTCTGCCTAGAGGCTTCCAATCTTGGATCCCCTGCCTGTGGTCATCTGTTTGTCCATCACCCCAGGACAGGGCAGACAGAGGAGCAGAGCTCTGGGGGCCCCAGAGCCCAGCTTGCCCTCAGCCTGGGGGACATCACAGCATTTCAGTGTCGGTCACATTTTAAACTGATCAGCCTTTGTATAATGTTTTTTAAATCATTTCTAAATAAAACAGAAATACAGAGTGTGTCACCTTCTTGAGTGGGAACAAAGACCGGGTTTCGAGGCTGGCTTTAAGAAGCTTTTAGAAGAACAGGGTGTTTTGGGGGTGTCTGGGAGCTGCCCACACATATCATTTGCCAGGCCTGTGATCAGACATCCTCCGTTTTCAAAAGGCTGGTCCCAGGAGGATCCTAGGACTACAGCCTAACGATATCTGGTCGGTTCCAGGGTGGAGGAGCAAAAATAGTGCCTAAACTTAAGACACAAGCAAGAGCTCAGTTCTCGGCAATACAGGACAGGTCAGGCCAGCAGAGAAAGAGCTGCCCCAGGATTCAGACAGCTGAGAAAGCCTGGGGGTAACAGGAAGGTCTGGGCTGGGTTTTGCTGTAGAATGTGCCGAGCCTGGTTCCCCCTAATGCAGCTCCAGAGGGACCTGCCGAATTTCCTTCTAGTCTACTGCGACCTCCTCCAATTCTCTGTTGTCTCCCGGGTTCCAGGAAATGGAGGTGTGTGGGGGGCGGGGGGGGTAGTTGTAACAGGGACCTCGGGTGAGGAAATGAGGACCCAGCCGGACTCAGGCAGGCAAGGACGTCAGGGGTGGCAGGCGGGCAGGAGGCTTCCTCCGGAGGGTGAGCGAGTCAGTACCAGGAGGTGCAGACGATAAGGAAGCGCACGTCGTCCAGCGGTCCCCATGGGCCGGGATCGGGCTGAGGCCGGGGCCGCTCCAGGACCTCTGGCGCCGCAGGCTGGGGCTGCGCCGGCTCCGGGGTACCCGGGCCACCGCTCAGCTGGGCCCCCATGGTCTGCAGGAGGAGAAGTCTTTCAGGTATAGGGTCGCAGGGACCCCCCCCCACCCAAGGCCATGGCGCACATCACCCCCCTCACCTTACGCCGCCAGAACTGCTGCGAGCTTAGGGAGGAGCAGGCGCCGTGACGCCACCACGCACCGACCTCACCCTCTGGCCGCCAGTCTCAGAGATCCTACTGCGGGCGCTGGGAGGAGCAGGAGCCATGACATCATCACGCATCGACCTCACCCTCTGGCCGCCAGAGCGGAAACCAGAGCTTCAAGCCCCGGGGCGTGACCCAGCTGACACGACTGGCCAATCCTGGCCCATTGGCCCGCCCACACACAGCAAGGTAGAGGCTGGTAACACCGCCCCCAGGCGCAACGTGCCCTGCCCTCCCGCCAGAAAGGGGGCTATGCCTGTGCTGCCTACCCCACTCCCACCTACCCAAGGGACGGGGAGCCAGGCCCACTTTAGGCCACCGAAAACAAGAAAGTTCTGACATCGCTTTTCTCTGCGGAATCACTATGGCGGCTGGGACCATGTACACGTACCCTGAAAACTGTAGGGCCTTCAAGGCCCTCACGCTGCTCAGTACAGCAGGGCTCAGGTCCAAGTGCTCCCCGGCATCAACTCACTTCCACTTTAGCCAAACCAACTGCATCCCTGAATATTTTTTCAAGTTTCCTACTGGCAAGGTTCCAGCAGCTGAGGATGACCATGGATACCATGTTTGAGTGCAATGCCATTGCCTACTATGCAAGCAATGAGGACCTGTGGGGTAGTACTCCAGAGGTAGCAGCCCAGGTGGTGCAGTGGGCCAGCTTTACTGGTGAGCAACATAGTGCTGCCAGCCAGTACCTGGGTGTTCCCCACCTTGGGCATCATGCACAACAAACAGGCCACAGGGAATGCAAAGGAAGTGGTGAGGCGAATTCTGGGACTGCTGGATGCTCACGTGAAGATGAGGACTTTCCTGGTGGCAAAATGAATGACACAGGCTGAGATCACAATTGTGTGTAGCCCTGTTGTGCCTCTATAAACAGGTTTTGGAGCTGCCTTTCCACCAGGCCTTCCCCAATACCAACCGCTGGTTTCTCACCTTCATTAACCAGCCCCTATTCGAAGCTGTCTTGAGGGAGGTGAAACTGAAGACGGCCCAGCTTGATAAGTTTGCAGAGCACCAGCCTAAAAACAACACCCCACAGAGAGAAGCAGAAGATCCAGGCCGAAAAGAGGAGAAAAAGGATGCTACCAAAGAGATGGATGATTGTGAACAGATGGATGAACTGAGCAGGCACTGGCTACCAAGCCCAAGACCAAGGACTCCTTTGCTCATCTACCCGAGTACCTTCCTGTTGGATGAATTTAAGTGCAAGTACTCCCAACAAGGACACACTCTTCATGGCACTGCCATATTTCTGGGAGCATTTCGGTAAGGATGGCTGGTCCCTGTGGTACTCTTGAGTAATGTTTCCCTCAAGAGCTCACCTAGACTTGCATGAATTGCAACCTCATCACTGCAATGTTCCAGTGATTGGACAAGCTGAGGAAGAATGCCGTAGCCAGTGTCATTTTCTTTGGAACCAATAACAGCAGTTCCATTTCTGGAGTCTGGGTCTTTACATGCCAAGAGCTTGCCTTTCCACTGAGTCGAGATCGGCAGGTGGACTATGAGTCATACACATGGTGGAAACTAGGCCCTGGCAGCAAGGAGACCCAGACGCTGGTTCAAGAGTACTTTTCCTGGGAGGGGGCCTTCCAGCATGTGAGCAAAGCCTTCAATCAGGGCAAGATCTTCAAGTGAACATCTCCCCATCACCTAGCTGCCTGCAATCTCCATCCACTCCTGCCGTTCAGAGAGACGGGGTCATTAAAGGAAACTGAACATTAAAAAGAAAAAAAGACACCAGAAGCCCCAGAGCCCTTACAAGTCTCTCACACCCACCAAGGAGAGGGCTGAAACAGATTCTTATTCTTTGAAGGCCAGAGAAGACTGAAGCAGAAGTTGAGTGAAAAATATGAGAACTGGTGGAGAGTGCTTCCTCCTCTTGCCCTGGGATGAAGCATCCCATCCTGATGAGGATGGAGGTGGAGGGGTATGTGTCCATCCCACTCAATTTTCTAGGACCCTAAAACAATTGGGAATAAGGAGCTTATGTACAGGCGAACACCCAAAACATCACATTCAGAATGCAAAGAGGCAGTTGCCCTTTAATAGGGTGGCAAAGGACAGCAGAACCCTCAGCCAGGAGTTGCAGGGCTGTCAGCCAGCAGGAAGTGGTAGGTTTCTGCAGTAACAATAGATTCAGGAGACGGACACGAGTGAAGATGGGCTAGACACCCAGCCACTCAATCTCTGCCACATTCCTGCCAGCATCCATACAGACTGGGTGGGACATGGAGAGGGAATCAAAGTCCAGAGCCAGGAGCCCACGGAACAGCATGGAAGGTGACTCAGGTGAGGCTGAAGAGAGAAGGAAGAACACTGTCAGTATATGTTTCTGAGAACACACTTCACCCTCCATTCTCAAGGTGCTTGCTTCCACCCTCACCCTGGACCTTTGTTCGAGCTCAGCCCTAACGAACCACACTCAGAGCCCCACCCAGTCCTATCCTGGTTCCGGGTTTGACTGTATCCCATGAGTCACAGTCACTCTCAATGCTTAAAGCCTAAAAGTAATTCTTTGCACTCTCAGGTTGCTTAATTCTCTCAGTAATTAATTCGAACTGTTACTGATTAAACACCAGATCCTCACAGGGCAAGTCCACCGACCATTAGAAAAGGGGATAAGTGGGCTCAGCAAAAGGAAGGGATGTGCCCAGGCCACAGGTCCCTCAGTGAGTGGCAAGGCCGGGGCCAGAACTCAGGCTTCCTTCTCTAAAACTCTCTTTTAGTGCTAAACACATTAAAAAAAAAAAAAAAAAAGCCATGAATACTAGACTGAGATAGGCTCAGTAAGAGTTAAAAACATTCTTCCTGGAGGTGATAATCATATGCATGATTATAAAATTAAAATACCTATTTCTAGTTACCTAACATGTCCCCTGGGGTGGAGGGAAGAGGTCTTCATGGACACCTGAAACTCAACACGTTCAAAAACCAAAGGAGACCAGTGAGTTTTTGTCTCTTCCTTTCCAATACTTATTTATTATTATCTAACTGTATAGGGAAGAACACCAAAACAATGCTGATCAGAGGTGTAGGTGACTGTAGGTGGCAATTCTACCCAACTCTAATGGCAGTTTCCAAAGTTTCACGGTTAAATGCAGTATTTACTGTAATTATCAATGATCGGGTTACAGAAATTTCTTTTCTTTTTTTTTTTTTGAAGAGGTTTTTTTTGCTATAGGGCGCGTGTGCTCGCCAGACAGACAGAGACAGACAGAAAGTGAGAAATCACCCCCCAGAGGGGATGGCCACGCCACAATCCCTTCTCCTCCATTTTCCTCTTGGGATCTTGGGCACGCACACACACGTGCCCGGCGTGAGTTTTAAGCCACTGGGTCCGGGACGCGAACTGCGGTCGACTACGTGGGAGTCCAGCAACATAGCCATTATGCTAACTGCTGTTCCAACACAAATTTATTTTCTGTTAGGCTGCTAAGAGGGTTTTGCTTTACTCTTTAATAAAATGATTAATTGCACGAGACTTCCCTTAAGAATCTGGAGTCACCTCTTAAGTCTTTCTTACAAGATTTTATGTTCTCGAGAGCATAAGCACTGTATTTTATTCACCACACTGCTGTCTGGCACATAAAATGTTGAACAAATGACAAAATTACTGGTACCATGTGAAAGGTTCTTTTTCATAACCTTTCAAGTGCTCACCAGTACTGACAGAAAAGTTAGTGAGTGTGGTCTCCCCAAATTCCCCTATGAGAAACATCTTTGGTAGTTTAGTGAACAAACCACACATGGTTTGTTCCCAGATCTAGGGAATCAATATCTAAAGGGTGATATCAGGAACCCATGTAAATGAGCATCCAACATAAGCTAAAGCTCAAAAGCACAGGCCAAAAGTCAAACCTCCTGATGCAGGCATTCGAAGTTTTCAAGGCACTAAGACTATGACCCTTCTGCTTCACAAAGTAAGTTCTGTGTCTTTCCATCTCTGTGTCTGCCTGAGGTGGATCCCCATTCCAGCTGTGCATATTCAAATATATATTCATTTCCTGAAGCCAGACTAAATGATCTGTCTTCCATGATCCCAAAAAGCTGCTTACCAGAGCTTTCCAAGCACCCATCTCAGGATGATTAAGGTACCTTTTAATTTCTCCTTCGAAGATAGCTAAAGGCTGCACTGGCAGTGGCACAGTAGGGCAGCTAGACCCAAATGGGAGAAGTCCTGGGTTCACATCCCAGGACCTCCCTGAGCATGCTGGTGGCATGCATGCATGTGTGCCTATGATCCAGACCAATTGCCACAAAGGTGGATCACAGCATAGGGACCCAGTTGGAGGTGCGCCCCAACCCACTCCGAAGAGATAAACACACTTAAAAGTCATGTGTAGTAGTTATGTATTTTCTTCCCTGCTATACTGTGAGCCCCTCAGAAGCAGAACACAGGACCAAGTTGCCTGGCTATCTCCCCTGGAGCCTTGTCCCCAGGGCTCCATAAACATCAGGCAAATAAATAAAGGGAAGAGAATGAAAAATGGTATGTTCTGTTACTTGGCATCTGTACTACTTTGGGGTTTCTATCTTCATAGAGCCTATGCTACTTTGGGGTTTCTATCTTCACAGAGCCTATGCTAGTTGGGTGCGGCGTGCTTTGAGAAGGATCCTCAATGGGGGATCAGAGAGAGAAGCTGAACTACCTAGGACCTCTTCCTCAGAAGAGGGCTAAAGTCTTACACCTTGAGGGCTAGCAGGTGGCATGGTGGTTAAGGTGCTAGATTCCCACATGGCCAACCACAGTTCAAGTCCTGGACCCAGTGGCTTGGCATGTGTGTGCACATGCCCCAGATCCCAGAAGAATGGAGGAGATGGGAATGCAGTGTGGCTATCTCCCCTGGAGTGATTTCTCACTTTCCCTCTCACTGCATCTGTCTCTGGCGAGTGCATATAACCCATGGCAAAAACCTTTGGAGAAAAAAAAAAGCCTTGGAATCTGCCAGTATAGGTCCCTGTTGTTCTGTTTTGTTAACCCACAAAAATCCAGATTGTGATTATGATGCCTGCCCCATCCCCCAGCCAGTCCAAGAACTCCCTTAAGCACCTGGAGTGTACTCAGTCTTTAAGAGTAGCCTTAGCCCTTTCCTCAACAAACAACTCTTTTCTGTCTCAGGTTACAGCAAACATAAACTGCAAAACATGGTCAGTGAACAAATAAGACAGAATTCAGAGAAGATTTGCCTAGAGAGGGGACGCCAAGCTGAGTCTTCTGAGATGAAGAACCACAGATGCTAAGAAATGTCTGCTGGCTGTATCCCGTGAGTGTTGCACAGTGAGATAAGCTCTCATACTTGAAGACAATTTACCACTATGGACTCCTGTTCTAGGTGGCATCTCCTTCCCCTACCTTCAAAAGACAAAGTGAGCCCCTGTCATAGGCAGGAAACAGGCCCCAGATACCTGTCGATGAGGGAATCCCGCATGCTGGTGGCGATGGTGCTAGGCTGGGCTTCATTCAGCTTGAAGACGCTTTCTATCACTGACAGCTCCGTGCTGGTTGTGTCCAGGCCACAGAAGGCACACCAATCATTCACCACCATCCCTGCAGCAATCACCTCACTGCCTCGGTTCACAGTGCCCGCCTGCCAAGGGATGGGCTTAGCATGAGTCACATCCCAACAGCCAAAGTCTCACTCCTCCCTGAAATGTGCTCTCCCCAAACCTGCTCCCAGACCTGTAGTCCCAATTCCAAAATATGGAGACAATGACCCAGATTTCCAAAACACTGGGCAAAGGGATCTGCCTCAGCAGAAGACAGGGGTCAAAGGACGGGAATGCTTACCACAAGGGGAACCTGAAGGAGAGAGGACAGCTCATCCTGGTCTTCAATTGAAGTCTTGGGATGCACCAGGCCCCCTTGATTGCTGAAGACACAGTAGCTTCCCACCAGCACCTGGTCAGCCACTGTCTGTCTGAAGACCTCTACCTTGAGCACATCAGCTAGGATTTCTTCTGTCTCCTGTCAGTCAAAAGTACTGTGCTCAGGGCCCAGAACTTATAGTACAAGGAACCAGGAGTTCTCCATGCCCAGTACCACCCATGGCTTGGCTCCCTGAGCCTGTCATTTCCACTAAATACTTGCATTCAGAAACGTCACCCAGGGAAAGGAGGGGCTATAGGTGAGAACAGTCTAGGTCAGCTCTGGAGACCCTAATATCCATGTGTTTCCTGAACATGTCTCCATGTCATCCTTCTCCCTCTAACCCACACTCAAGAATTCAACTGTTAATCTTCTATACTGGCCCAGGCTACAGATCAATCTCCCCAATCCTAATGGATTAATACCCTTCCCAGATTCTTTCTGACACTGGCCATACTACACAAGTCCTCTACTATCACTATTCCAATGGCACTCAATGGACATTCAGGAGCCCAGATATAGAAAGCAACAAGAGATACGTCTAATTCCTGCCTGTTAGTCAAAGAGAGTAGTTAACCACTAACTGGGGTGGTCCTGGTGACTCCTGAACCAACTTAGGCTGCCTCACCCTGTCCAGGTCTGGGTGGACCAAGGCCACGTAGTCATTGCAGGTGGTGACATTGCCCAGGGCTGAGAGCCGCTCCTCCACTCGCCGGATCTGCACTGAGTCTGGGAGGCAGTTGCGAATGTGTTGCAGCTCTTGGTCAGTGGTATTGTTGGGTACCAGGAGACCATGCCTGTTCCCTAAAGAAACCCAAATTGGAGAGTGAAGCAATGATGGATCATGATCATACAAGATACCTGCTGAGTCTTTGGGACTGAAGATACAAACCAGCCCAATCCACCAGCTAGGATAGCTATCTCAGGATAGCTTTTGGCCCAGACTTCAGCCCTCCAACCCAACAATCCATACAACACCTAGGGGCACCAGGGGGTCCACTAGTCAGGCCAGTGATGGCCCAGGAGTACATCCCAACAAACCTTGTCTCCTTTACCACCATTAACCAGGGGAAACAGGACTAGCAGGAAGGTCTCTTGAATTTAGTTGTACATATCACTACTCAAAACCTGAGCTAACTGGGGCTGGCAGGTGGCATACTGGTCAAGGCACTGGACTCTCACATGGTCAACCATGGTTCAAGTCCCAAACCAGTAGTTTGCTCTCTCATTTTCCCTCTCTCTCTCGTTGAATTTTAAAATAATAAATAAAATTAAATAAACAATTCTCTCAAAAAAAAAAAAACCCTGAACTAACACTACACATTTATCAGAATAGTTAAGATTTTTAACAAACTTTCAGTACCAAGTGTTGGCAAAGATACACAGAGCAAATGAAACTCTCACACCAACAGGAATATACATCAGTCAACCCTTCAGACAATTATCTGGCATTTACTACAATGAATAGTTACATAACTCATGACTCTGCTATTCCACTCCTGGATATTATCTACTAAGAAATACATACATATGTTTACTAAAAGACATAGCAGGACAATTCCTGCTAGACCAAAGTGAAAACTACTCAAATGTACCCTGTCAACAGAATAAAAAAAAAAAAAAAACACTGTGATACACTTACACAAAACATACTATAAAGCACCAAGAATGGACAAACTGCTATAGCACTGTGATAACTATGGCTAAGCCTATGCTATCTCTGCAAGGCGACAACTCTGAGCTGAACTCTGAGTGAATCCCATCATAAAATAGACCAAGGGCCAGGCTAAATTCTCTCCTTATGTCAGAACTTGCTTCAAGTTCTTTTTTGGAGGGGTTTTAGCTATAGTGCGCGTGCGCTGGCCAGACAGACAGAGACAGACAGAGAGACAGAAAGCGAGAAATCACCCCCCAGGGGGGATGGCCACGCCGCAAACCCTTCTCCTCCATTCTCCTCTAGGGATCTTGGGCACGCACGCACACACGTCCGGCATGAGTTTAAGTCACTGGGTCCGGGACTCGAACCAAGGTCAACTACGTGGGAGTCCAGCGACATAGCCATTATGCTAACTGCTGGTCCCAGAACTTGCTTCAAGTTCTAAGGGTTAGAGATCTGGGTATATTAAATAAGTAAGAAAAACTTAGTTCACCAGGCTTAAATTTTAAAAAGAAAGAAAAAGAGAGATGCCTATATAACTCCAATGAGCACAACTAAGAAACAAGATGTAGCAGTAGCAGGAGACAGATCCAGTTTACAGAAAGGACCAGTAGTCAGTCAACAGTACCAAGAGATAGGAGGTGAGGTAGGGATGGCCCTTGGAAATGTGGTAAAGGGAACTAAAATTCAAATGTAATGGAACAAAGAGGCTGGGTGGTGGTACAGTGGTAAAACGCACCACTCTGTGAGGTGACCTACAAAGGAAGGTTCCAAGGTGACATCCAAAGACCTCCCTCAGTACACCTAACACACATGTGCCCAAGAACTGAGGCTAGCTGAAGTTGGAGAGTGAATCATGGTGTCAAGACTCCGTTGGGGGTGCTGCCTTCTGTCACTCTCTCTCACTCACTCTCATGAAAGAAATAAACTTAAAAAAAAATTATATTGGGCCAGCCCTGTGCACTTTGAATGACCAACTGCAGTTCAAATCTTGACTCAGGTAGCTTGAAAAACACACTGGGCATGTGTATAGGCATGCCCAAAATCCTGACAGGATGTAGAAATAAGAAAAAAGAAAAAAAAAAAAAAAAGGACTGAGGGATGATCATGCACAACTGGGGAGGGTGTTTGTGGGGCATGCCCTCCCTCCCTCTGAGGAGTGCACAAGTGCCCTCAGTAATTTTTAAAAAAGGAAATGAGAAAAAAAAAAAAAAAAAAAGGCAATGTAATTGAACAGCATGCCCCAGCATCCTGGCCAATCATTTTCGGAGAGGCAGAAATGGATGTCCAGAAAGAGGTAACTTGCTCAAAGGCAGCGCCAGAGAAGAGATGAGAGATGACATTCAAATCAAATCCTCCTCCACCCTGGGTGTGGAACACAGTGAGTCATATTTTCTGAGAGTCATCAAATTAAACCAGTAATTCCTACCTCCCAGAGTCTTTGTGAACAGGAATAAGGACAAAAGCGAAAGCGCTTAATGTTATTTGCTGTTACTATTACCTACTGTAGAAGCTTTTGCCAGAGGCTGTCCCTGACCTGCTGACACTTAGACTCGGTCCTATGAAGCCCTGAGAAAGTCTACAGTCCCCAGAGATAATGGTGAAAACCTGGAAATTCCTCGGTCACTCCAGGTCCCTTCCTGGGATGTACTTAATGGTGTACGAGGCTCCACACCCTCCCTCGGCGTCTTTCTCCTGCCTTACCCACACACATGCGCCCGATGATGCGGCAGCCGGCGATGGACGCGTGCACTACGGGGATGGTATCGGCCAGCTCGCCCTCGAACACACTGTAGGGACATGGACTCGGTGATGACCGGATTAAGGGGTCAATGTCCTCACTCTGTGGGTGTGTGGGGGAGCTCCGCCTCCCAGCACTCCTCCCCGCCGCCAGTCCCGGCCCTCTCCTCCGCGTACCTGTAGAAGTTCTCGGACCCTCCGATGGCCACCAGGCAGTAAGTGTTGGTGAGTTTGGCAAAGCAGCCGATCTCACAGTTGTTCTCGAATGACGCTCGGACCGCCATGAGGCCTGGGGGCCACGGGGCCGGGAGTTCAGAGCCAACGAATCCTTCCCGGACTCGGCCCTCCCGGCCTGGGTCCCTCAGGGACTACCGTGACTCCGCCCCTCTCGGCCCTCAGGCAGGTCCCGCCCACTGAGCCCCCCAGGCTCCGCAGGGCGGAATCCTCCAGCTCCCACCCCTGCAGACCCGCGACCCGGGACCCGGGACCCGGGCCGGGACTGACCTTCCGGTCTCGCTTCTCACCAGTTCACCAAGCAACCGCAGCTCTCACACGCGCTTCTACCCTTCTCCTTCGCAAACTGACTTCCGTTTCCGCCCGGGCCCACGGAGACTCCCGGAAGTCTCCGGGGACCGGTCCGCGCATGCGGCCAAGCTAGCTCCAGCCGCTGGGGTGGTTGTAAATAGTATTCATTCCTCATTCTGGAGCTTTTACGGAGGTACCATCGATCTAGGCCTGCGCCAGTTGAATAGTTGAATGTGAGACGAGGAGCCAGGGATGTTTGTTTTTTTTTTTGAGAGGTTTTCGCTATAGGGCGCGTGCAGGGCGCGTGCGCTCGACAGACAGAGACAGACAGAAAACGAGAAATCACCCCCCAGGGGGAATGGCCACACCGCAATCCCTTCTCCTCCATTCTCCTCTCGGGATCTTGGGCACGCACGCACACGCGCCCTGTGTGAGTTTTAAGCCACCGTCCGGGACGTGAACTACATGGGAGTTCAGCAACATAGCCATTATGCTAAATGGTGGTCCCAGAGCCAGGGATGATTTGAAAAGACAGGTTGATGGTGGAGGCATAAATGAAAAGAAGCTGGAGGTTTGGGGGCTGAGGACAGAGATTTGGGTTGAAACCTGGGGAGGGTGTGGCCAGCGGGTAGACGTGAGACCAGGACCTAAAGGCCCAGGAAGTAGAAGAAACTAGACAAAAGGTGGCTTTAGAGAAAGGGGAAGATGGGAGAAGCTGGGTCTTAAGGAGGGTTTGGAGGGGCAGGGGAGAAGTGGAAAAGGATGTGCGTGCTAACCTGCTTCCTCGAGGTGCCTCAACACTCATGCTTTCACTTAGCTGCCATCTTCTGTCTGCTCCCTCATAATAGTGTGCCAAGGACTGTGCTCTGGTAGACAAGATGAACTTGGCCCACACTTTTGTGGAATCTACAAAAACTCCAGGGTCTGGGACCACCAGTTAGCGTAATGGCTATGTTGCTGGACTCCCATTGAGTTGACCACGGTTGGAGTCCCAGACCCGGTGGCTTAAAACGCACGCCAGGCGCGTGTGCATGCGTGCCCAAGATCCCGAGAGAAGATGATTTCTCACTTTTTGTCTGTCTCTCTCTGTCTTTGTGCACGTGCCCTACAGCATGTGCACGCGACCCAAAACAAAAACCCCCCCCCCCCAAAAAAAAAAAAAAAAAAAAACTCCAGGGTCTATTAGAATGTCATAGTGTGGGGCGGCAGACTGGAGCCCTTTGTCTCCTCCAGACCCTCTTGCTCTTACTGTCCCGCAGGGAGCCAGGAGTCCATAATTGGCTTGGATGATGCTCCTCCCATGTTCCCACCTGCCATCCCATACCCGACCTTCCTCAGGACACATGAGGCCGCTGCTACGTCGTGGTCATGTCCACCTTTATTGATTTGTATCATGTAAACTGTTCCAGGCAGGTGATGAGTTCAGGAAAAGAGTTCACAGCCTGTCACAGACTCGGCTTCAGGAGACACCCAGCAAGATGGTATGTGGTATGTGCATGTGTGTTAGCATACCCACATGCTCTCATCCTCCCCACGTGCTCTCATCCTCTCCACTTCACTCTACCAAGAATTCCTCTCTCTCCTCCATTTGTCCAAAACCTCTGTATCCTTCGAGGCCTGGCTCAAAATTTCCTCCTCTAAGAAACTTTCTTGACCATTCTATCATGTCCATGACTCTAGCCTTTGTTTTCTATTACCCTCTGTCACTGGTTAGCCTCTAACTTGATCAGCAATATCTTGTTCTATAATACATGCATATTGTCTTTGTCCCCCAGGATCTGAGTCTAATTCATTCGTCAGCCCTACAGTGTGCCCAGTGCTGGGCTAGAAACACAGCTTAGGTTCAAGAAGATACTGGTTGGGGTGTGCATGTACATATGTGTGTGTGCATGTATGTGCATTTTGGATTCCATGCCTGTTTAAGGTTTGTGGATCCTGTGAGATCTACAATATGCGCTGAAGGCATGTATTTTGTCTAGCCATTCATTTAGCCAATTGTCACCTACTGAATACCCGCAACTGGGCCAGAAGTGGTCAAGGCACTGGACTCCTGTGTGGCCCACCACAGTTCAAGTTCCAGACCCAGAGACTTGAAACATCCCAAGCACATAAGGATGCATGCCCAGAATCCCAGGAGGAAATTAGAGAAGGGATTGCACCATGGCCATTCGCTCTAGGGGGTGATTTCTTGTTTTCTGTCTCTCTGTCCAGCAAGCACACATACCCTAATAGCAAAAGTTTCTCTCACACATACAAAAATAAAATACCCACAAGTAAAATTCTGAGTATTTTGGTTTATCACATGGCCCTCAGTGTCCTTATGGTATCTGTCTGTAAGTATGGACCCAGCAGTGTGCCATGTACATCAGATGGGCATTTAAGACATCTGTGTAATGTATGTTCTTTGTGTATGTGGAGACATGTGAATTATGGATATTGTGTGTCATGACTATACAAAAAACACGATCTTTAGAGCCAGAAAGACACTACTTTGCCATTTACTTGGACCTCACTCCAAGTAAGTCCTTAAACTCTGGGTCTCAGCTTCCACATTTATGAAAAAGGGGGATCATACCTATTATCATTATATACCTACAACAGGTCCATCTTGTAGGATATTGTGAGGATGGAGGAGGAGAAATAGTAACTGGCTCTTCCTTTCTAGGCTTGGACCTAGTTGGCAGCGGTATGGCTAAACGCACCAAGAAGGTCAGCATTGTCGGTAAATACAGGACTGCTATGGTGCTTCCCTCTGGAAAGTGGTGAAGAAAATTGAATTCAGCCAGCACGCCAAGTACACTTGCTCTTTCTGTGGCAAAACTAAGATGAAGAGACGGGCTGTGGGGATCTGGCACTGTGGTTCCTGCATGAAAATGGTAGCTAATGGTGCCTGGACCTGCAACACCACTTCGGCTGTCACAGTAAAGTCTGCCATCAGAAGACTGAAGGAATCGAAAGATCAGCAGAAGCTCCATAGATATTTGGAATATTACTAGTCTACGATAAATGGATGAATTTATATAACAATAACAAAAAAGAAATAATAACGTGTAAAATGTCCAACTACATGCATGTGTGAGAGAGAAAGCACGTGTGTGTGTGTGTGTGTGTGCGTGTGAGAGAGAGAGCATGTCTGCAAGAATCTTGAGCCCAGGGAGTATGTCTGACCTGGGCTTCTAGCCACCTTCCTTTCCCAGTGGCTGGGGCCTGAGCAAATGCAGAATCTCAGTGGTTGGAGGCGGGATCTGCCCCTCCTGGGACTAGGGCTAGGACTCAAAGCGACTTCGGAGCAGCTTAAACTTGGACTTGTGGTACTTAGTGATGAGGTCCAGTTTGCTGTGGCCCAGAGTCAGCCGTTTCTCATTCCCAAAGAAGCCATTGCTGCTGCCATTGCGATGGCCCCCTGCAGGACCTCCAGGGAGGCCAGGCTCAGGTCCCTGCCTGGCCCCCTGTAGCTGATGATACTTGGTGATAAGGTCCAGCTTGCTGTGGCCCAGAGTCAGCCGCTTCTCATCATCAGGGCCTGCTCCAGTCACACGAGCAGGGCTCAGTCCTGGGAGACCACTGGGCCCAGGCCCCTCACTCCGGAATGGACCAAACTTTGTGATGAGGTCCAGCTGGCTGTGGCCCAGTGTCTGCCGTCGCTCATCTGGACCCTGCTTGTCAAGTTTGGCTGAGTTGGCCTCAGGGGGCACTCTGGAGCCCTGTGCCTTGGGGTGCTGTACCAGGAGGTCCAATTTGCCATGGCTGTGATTTGGGAACAGGCTTCTGTCCTCTGTGGCCCAATCACCAGGTCTGAAGGAACCAGACTCAGGGGCACCCCCAACACCCTGGACCCGGGGCAGGAGATCCAGTTGGCTGTAGCTCTGGCTTGGAGACAACCTCTTGTCCTCTGGGGACTGCTCATCAGGCCGAAGGGAACTTGAGTTGGAAGTAACCCCAGAGTTAAGGTCTCCTGCTTCTCGGGCTCTGGGCAAAGGGACAAGGTGGTCCAGCTGGTCATGGCTTTGACTCAAAGATGCCTTCTTCTCTTCCACTGTCTCCAGGGCTGTGCCAAGCATCTGGCGGCTTCGTGGGGGACTAGGATCCTGGCTTCCTGGGATCCCATTCTCTGGGAGCTGGGACAGAACTGGGACACCCCGGGGGAAGTAAAGGAGCGGACGGGGACGAGGGAGCAGTGATGACCCTACTGCCTGGGTCAAGGGACTGGCGTTATTGTGGTTGAGGGCAGGAGAAGACTGAGACCATGGGGATGCCCCCAGCTTGGCCAGGTTGGCCCTGTAAGGTCCAGAAAGGGAGCTATGGTTAGGGTCTGACAGCTGGCGTTGCAGGGAGGGCTGGCCACTGGCCTCACAGCGGGCTGAGCCCGGGGTTGAGGATCCCATAACTGTACCACCCCAACCACCGCCTCCTGGTAGACGGAGAAAGGAAGAGCGGCCCGTGAGAGGTGAGCGCTTGATGCTGCTGAGGCTGGTGCTGGAGGGCGAGGAGGATGTGGGACTTGGGATGCCAGGCCCAAAGGCCAGCGCCACCGGAGGAGGACGTAGGGCCCGTGGAGACGGTGGCTCCTCACCACCGCAAAAGCCCTCCACAGGCTGCGACTCAGCATACAGACAACGGAACTCACGGTCAAAATCTTCCACGATGCGGCCCCTCAGCTGCAGCACCATGCTAGTGTGGGCCTGGCTGCAAAGCCAGGTGAAGCTGGGGACAAGGGGCAGGGGCAGCAGGCATAGTGCAAGGACATGGGGCTCAGCAGGAGTCACCAAAGGGGAGCACACCCCGAAATGGGCCCCAACTCTGCCACCACGAGTCTGCCACCACGAGGCCCTCAGGGAGGGCAGGAGAGCCAACTCTAGGGTCTGCTCATTCTAGTTCTGCTTAGTGGACCTGGGCACATGGCTGCCCACCTCAGGGCCTCCACTCCCCCATCTGTAGAATGGACTGGGGGAGGTTTTCTGAAGTCCCTCCAGTTCTGAGGTGCAACCATTGTTTTCTGTGCTAAGGACATTGAGGTAATCCTCCCGCAAGGATAAGCATGTCTGACTTGGGCCCTCGCTGTGTCCCCTAAGCTCTGTGCAATGTCTGGCACACTGCAGGTGCTCAGTATGGTTGAAAGGGCTGCATGGAGGGAGTTCAAAGCTGCCAGATCCAAGCTGCCCTCCCAGTCAGCGGCACAGCCCGACCCCTCCCTCCATTGCTCTTGCTCACCTGTAGCTGCCCGCCACCACCTGCTCACAGTCGATGATGACGAACTTCTCCAGGGCCTGCCCGGCGAAGCGGCGGCCGGCCTTGCTGCAGTATGTGTCCCCACATGTGCTCCGCACACGCATGTTCTGGGCCAAGGGTTGGAAGGAGGTTGGGGCTGACTTTGCAAGTAGGGGCTGAGCCATCTATGCCCCATGGGGGTCTCTGACCCCAAACAGCTAAGGGAACCCAGTCCTCACTCCCAACAATCCCTGCCTGACTCCCCACTCCCACCCTTGGTTACCACCCCAGGCTCTCACTGACCGGCAGGTGCCCCCCATTGAGGTCCATCTTGTAGCACATTTCCAGGAAGTGCCTCAGGTGCTCCTGGGCCAGGAGCAGGTAGACAGGGACACCCCGCCGGCTCGAGGCCTCCATGAGGTCACACAGAAGCTCCATGTCGGTGAAGATGTCCATCACCACAGCCACTACCTGAGAAGGAGGAGAAAGCTCAGCCCTACCTGGGGCACTGCCCACTTCCAGCCCAGGAAAGAACACTGGGCTGAAAGGCCGAAGTGTTTGAGAACAAGCAGTCTGGAAGGGCTTTTAGCAATGACTTAGCCCAGGGTTCCTAACTTGGGCAAAGGGAGATTTGACTGTCTTGAAGTCCTAGTTGTTTGAAAGTTTTTGTGTGCATATTTCTATGAACACAGTGTGTATCTGTCATCAGATTCTCAAAAGATGTCTTTGGATCAACTGCACTAGTTCAAAGCCCCACTCTGCATCGAGGCCCATAGGGAGCAGGAGTCTGGGTTTCTAACCAGACCTTGAGTCCCAGGCTAGTTCCTCAGTCTCCCTACTCGTTCCAGCCCTAGCTCTGGCCCGGGGACTGAGGCTCCCCTCTCAAAGTTTAGAGTTAGAGCTGCAAGCCAGTTACTGAGGTCTCCAATACCCTTCCCCAGCCCTGCCTCAGTTTCCCTGCGAAGTTACAGAGTTCTGGTGTGACACCCTACACGCACAGACTCACTTTCTCCCATGCCAAGCATTCTGCTCAGTTGAGAGCTGGGGCTTGTACCCCTACCACATATAAAGGGCTGCTTTGGAGAGGCACTTGAAAACCCTCTGGCCCCTCCAAGCCCACCAGCTATCTCTTCCCACTGCTTGCATTTTTATGAGAATCTCCTTTCTGAGGCAGAACTGGGAGGCAGGAGGTACAGAGCATAGCTCTCCAGCTCTGGAGCCAAACAGCACTGGGTTCAAACCTGGCCTCTGCCACTTCCTAGTGATAGGGCTTTGGGCAAGTTGCTTCACTTCTGGGAGCCTCAATTTCCTCCTCTGTTAAATGGAAATAATGATAGGTATGTTAACGAGTTATGGGGAATTACTAATAAATGTGAAAATGCTCAGCACAACAGAAGCTCAATAAATGTACCTTTCCTGCTGTCTTAACAAACAAGGACGTTGGACTATAGGGAAAGGAAGTAGTTCCTAAGGTCACAGTCAGTCAGAGCAGAGCCTGGCTCCAAGCCTGCGGGTGGAGGTGTCCAAATGGGGGAGGGAGGCAAGGCACTGGGGGTGTCTAGTCCACCACAGAGGCCTGCCCACGGTGGGGGCAGCAAGGACAGGCAGGAGAGATCAAAGGAATAGGGGCGATGACAGCAGCCAGAGCCTCACTAATAACCCCATTCCCGATGCCAATCAGGCCTGGCCCTCCCATGCCTGGGGCACAGCCAGACTTGCCAAGAAGGCTCTGGAGGTACCAGCGGAATCCGGGAACCCTGGCTCCTCATCTGTGCAGCAGGAGCCTACTTTGAATCCTGCCAGGGGTCATCTTGCCCATTCCTCTGCCTCCTGAGTTGGAAGCCAGTGAAGCTGTGCCATTGTGTGGTTGGGGCTTTCCCAGGCCTGACCTCTCCCACCTGCCCTCCTGATTCTCCTCCTGAGATCTCACCACAGCTGAGCCCAGCAGCTTTCACTCTGCTCCTTGCTGCCGACCTAAAAGCGGAGCCCTCAAGAGCACACCAAGGCCACACACCAGTGCTCATGCCCAGCTGGGCGCGCAGTGCAGGAGAGCAGACGTGGACCAAAAAGCAAGGCTGTGCCTGGGCCCAGGCCCTGAGTCAGAGTCCCCTCCTCTCACCCTTAGCTCTGAGCTCTACAAAGGAACTTCAGAAAGTTTGTGGGAAAAATGGAATTAAAATATGAGTTTACTTTGGCACAATTTTTTTTTTTTTGAAATTCATGCATAATAAAATTCACACATTGTCCTTAAACTTTTCACCAACTGACTGAACTTCCCTAGACAAGTCCCAGCCTCTCCTTAACCTCAGTTTCTTTCTTTAAGTCAAAGAGGTGGATCAGATATTCTCCAAACTTAAGGTTCTTAGCTTTAGGGATCACATTTCTTGGGAATCTGATGGAAGTCTAAGAAAGATGCAGTGAGGAACTCTTCCTGTAAAACGCACAACATCACATGCATTTTCGAGAGTTATGGCATTCCCAAGGCCCATGCTTGGTTCTGTGTTTATCCTTAATGTTCTTGAGTCCCAGGGGTTACCAGGGTAAATAAAGTGTATGCCCAGCCTCTAGGAGCTTGTGATCTATTAGAGGCCAGAAGGTCTAGTCCCAGTTCTGCCTCCCAACTGCTGTGTGGCCTTGGGCTGGTCCCTTTCCCTCCCTGGGCCTCAGCTGCCACATCTGTGAAATGAATAAAGAGAGAAGGTCCTTACCGTGCGGGCCTGGCTGAAGAGGAAACGCAGCAGGTCCTTGATGTTCTTGGTCTTGTCCCTTTGGAAGTGGACCACAGCCTGCGTAGGGCTAAAGTGGCACAATTTTTTTTTTTTTGAAATTCATGCATAATAAAATTCACACATTGTCCTTAAACTTTTCACCAACTGACTGAACTTCCCTAGACAAGTCCCAGCCTCTCCTTAACCTCAGTTTCTTTCTTTAAGTCAAAGAGGTGGATCAGATATTCTCCAAACTTAAGGTTCTTAGCTTTAGGGATCACATTTCTTGGGAATCTGATGGAAGTCTAAGAAAGATGCAGTGAGGAACTCTTCCTGTAAAACGCACAACATCACATGCATTTTCGAGAGTTATGGCATTCCCAAGGCCCATGCTTGGTTCTGTGTTTATCCTTAATGTTCTTGAGTCCCAGGGGTTACCAGGGTAAATAAAGTGTATGCCCAGCCTCTAGGAGCTTGTGATCTATTAGAGGCCAGAAGGTCTAGTCCCAGTTCTGCCTCCCAACTGCTGTGTGGCCTTGGGCTGGTCCCTTTCCCTCCCTGGGCCTCAGCTGCCACATCTGTGAAATGAATAAAGAGAGAAGGTCCTTACCGTGCGGGCCTGGCTGAAGAGGAAACGCAGCAGGTCCTTGATGTTCTTGGTCTTGTCCCTTTGGAAGTGGACCACAGCCTGCGTAGGGCTAAAGCCTGTGGCCTGCGGAACCTCAGGCCATCCCAGGTCCAGGTCTGGGGGCTCTATGTCGGAGGCCATGGGGAAGTAAGTGCCTGAAGTGACCTCCGAGAGCAGGCTGAGGTGGTCAGGCCCCGAGGCCTCTGGCCCCTGGGCTTCGCTGAGCTCAGGGCCCCCTCGCACATGGCTGGTCATGTAGTCCACATCCAGGGCGCTCAGGAAGGGCAGTTCCCGCTCCTCAGAGATGACTCGCAGGTAGGCAGCCTCGCCCCGCTCCAGGAGGGCATCAGCTGCCAGGCGGGCTGCCTCACTGTGCCGCAGCACCAGTGGTGAGCTCTCCCGCCACCAAGGCCGCTTCAGTTCCTCCACTCGGCCCCGCAGGGGTCCTGCCAGGCCCTGGGCCCCCAGGCCCGCAGGCCCTGAGCCTTTGAACATGACTGTCCACTGGTTGCCTCACCCACCAGCAGGCTCCATGGCTTGCACCCTGGGCTAGCTACAGCAGGAAGAGGAACTCAGCAGAGCTGCCTTCTGCCTGCCTGCCCTGTGTGTGGCAGGGCCCCCAACCTGTTGCCACCCTAAGTCAGAGCCATGCTCCGCCCCATTGCCCCTGGCCTCTGGAACCTGTCAGGTCAGCCCCACCTGTCTGCCTGCTGTTGGGACTCGCCTGCCCAGGGAAGCAGCAGTGCCAGGCCTTGGCTCAAGCTCCTACCTCCCCCTCCCCAACCCACCCAGCATCACCATCCTATCCCCACCAGGCTCCTAGCAGTCTCCAAGCCCTGACCCTCTAGGGACCCATAGGGGTTGGATTACAGTGCAGAGGTGCCTGGCCTGCTCAGGAACACCACATGTGCATGCACACCCACGCACACACACTCCAGGGTAGATGAATGACTCAAGACACTCAGATAAAGACAAGAACACACAAGCAGATATGCTGACTGACATACTAACAACTGTCCAGCGCACAGGCATAGACTATTGGTTGACACACGCAGACCAAACATTTCGATCAAGCTGTCTCAAGCAAACTGATCCAAATACTAATATAGAGACCAGTCACAACCACAAACATACCACGATGAGTAGCACAGGCCTCAGCCCGCATGCACACAGACTCTAAGTAAGAGCCTAATGGAGTGTAACAAAGAACCACTGAACACATCAACTGTCTACCCTCATCTAGTCCTCTCTTTGCTCCCATAATTGCCTTGCCACTCTCCACCATCATAATGTGGCACTCGCAACCCCCTGCCTTGCCCTATTTCCGCTCTGAAACCATCCTCCAAGGATCTAGAGCAGTGGCTCTTACCTAGCCTCCAAGATGGCCAAGAAGTGTTAAAATGCAGGTGCTCCAGACTCCACCCAGCCCAAGATTCTGATCCAGAAGGTCTGAGCAGGCTTCTGGGGCTTGCCTGGTGCACCTGGGGCAGTGGGCGGAGGCCAACCCCTGAGACACTTCCAAACAGCAGCATTTCCAACACCTGCAACTCCAAGGATGCTCTTGGCCTGGTGGAGGTCAAACCCCAGCCTTTCACCCTTCCTCTAGGGCTGAGTAAATGGTTGCAAGGTTGTTTGAGAGGATTGGGTGATACAATGCAAGGTCAAGGGAGCTAAGAGGGCAGGCAGCTTTCTCATCTTTGCCCCAGTGAAGCCCCAAATCCCAGAGCTTGGATGGTCTGTGCCCAGGAGGAAGAGGGAGAGGCTTTGCTCTGGAGACAGAGGTCAGCAGCTGCAGCTGGGGAGGCAGACCAGGGGAAAGCTGTTGTCACCTTGCCAGGGATGAACGAGGTCTGGTGAGGATGGCAGGGAGAGTAGGAGACCTAAAGCCAGGTTTCCCAGCTCTAATTCTCATTGCACTCAGCTCATCTAGTTTGTGATCACAGCCAGAACACGGTTCTTCTACGTCCACAAAGCTTTGCATGGGCCCAAAATGTGGAGGTGAGGATGGGATTCAGAGGCTCCCTGAGTCAAGCTAGGATAAATGGGGCCATATCTTCAAGGAGAGGGGGCTGAGGGGGGACAATGCGAGAGCCATAGAGCAAGAGCTGAAATGCTGGCCCTTCCGACCATCCCCTCATTGCCAGAGCAGTAAGCAGAGCACCAGGCTCTCTAAGGAGGACCTGCCCTGAGGGTGAGGAGGCTGCATGAAGGGTTGGGGGTTGAGTAAACAAAGTCAGCAGTGGGAGGGTAATGAGCAGTGGGGGCAGCCTTCCAGGCAAGGCCCTCATTAGGGCTTTATCTCCAGATTTGTTTGAAGGAGAGAACCAAGGTCTTATCTGGGTTGGAGAAGTGCTCCTGGGAGGGAACAGGCATTTGTGTGTGTTGCTGATTTAATTGTGTTTATCCTTCCGTGTGTGTACTTCTACCTTGTGGTAAACATTTTTGGCCCTATGTCTCATGTATTACTTTTTTTTTTTTTTCCCTGTAGGGCAGGTGTGCTTGTAAGGGAGAGAAAGTGAGTGAGAAAGCACCCCTCCACCCCTGGGAGGATAGCTTTGCTGCAATTCTCTCTCCTCCATTCTCCTCTCAGGATCCTGGGCATGCATACACTCGTTCCTGGTGTGTTCAAGTCACCAGGTCTAGGACTCAAACCATGCAGTCAATCATGTGGGATCCAGCCACCTTAACCACCACACCACAGGCTGACAATCCCATTTATTACTTTTCTTCCATTACTTTTTATTTACTTCATTTTATTTTTTATTAGCGTTATTTTTTTCAATTTGGAGAGAGACAGAGAGAGAGAGAAAGGGAAAGTGAGAAAGCAAGCCACCAAGTCTGGGACTCGAACCGTGGTTGACCATGTGGGAGTCCAGCGCCCTTAACCACCATGCCACCTGCCAGCCCCCCTCCATTTACTACTTTTAATTGTGGTAAAAAGCACATAAAACCTGCCATTTTAGAACCCAGCTGTAGTAGATGCCACTACTCAGCAGGCTCAAGCCACATGGAAGGCCTGCTCACCCTAAAAACCTGGATGTACAACGCTCTGTGAGGTACTCCTACATGCGAAGTTTCCCAGTTCAGGTGTAGAGACCTTTCTTACTACACCAGGCACACATGTGCCCATGATCTGGGGCTGGCTGTATGCTGAGTGTGGGGCACAGCGCTGGAACTCTGTTGGGGGTCCTTCTCTCTCTCTCAAGTCGTCTCTCTCTTTTATGGAATAAATTTTTAAAAACAGAAAAAAATCCAGGCATGATACTATGTATCTGTGATCCAAGCTACTTGGGAGGCTGAAGCAGGAGAATCATGACATAGCAAGATGCCCCTATTAAAAAACAAAAATTGCCATTTTTTAAAAGAATGATTTTATTTAACTTTATTAATTTAATTTGACTAGAGAAGGACAGAGTGAGAGTGAGAGAAAGGGAAAATGAGAAAGCAAGCCATCTGGTCTGGGACTCAAACTATGGTCGGTCATGCTGGAGTTCAGCACGCTTAACCACCATGCCACCTCCCGGCCCTCAAAATTGCCATTTTTAAGTGTATGCTTCAGTGGCATTAAGTACATTCACACTGTTGTGCAACTTTCACCACCATCCATCTCCAGACTGCTTTTCCACTTGTAAACCTAAAACTCTGTACCCAGTAACTAACTCGCAACCTCCCTCTCTCCACCAGCCCCTGCAACTACCATTCTACTTTCCATCTCTGTGAATCTGATTGCTCTAGGTACCTCACTCAAGTGGAATATAGCATTTGTCTTTTGTGACTGGTTTCTTTCACTTAGTATAATGTCTTCAAGGTTCATACATGTATCAGAATTTCCTTTTTTTTAAAGGGAGACTTTTGCGATAGGGACATACACTCATGAGGAAGACAGAGACAGAGAAACAGAAAGTGAGAAACCACCCCCCAGGAAGGGATGGCCACACTGCAATCCCTTTCTCCTCCATTCTCCTCTAAGGATCTTGGTCACGCACGCACATGTACACGGGTGCCACCAGGTCTGAGACTCAAACCGCGGTCAGCTACATGGGAGTCCAGCAATGTAACCATTATGTCATCTGCTGGCCCCAGAAATTCCTTCCTTTTTTAGGCCCAATAATATTCCATGGTGTGGGCAAGCAGGTGGTGTGGTGGTTAAGGCACTGGACTCCCATATGGCCGACTGCAGTTTGAGTCCTAGACCTGGTGGCTTTCTCTCTCTCTCTGGTGAATGCACATGCCCTGTAGCAAATTGTTTTAAAAAAGGATAAATCAAACTTTTTAAATATTCCATGGTGTACTTATACCACATATTGCTTATCCACTCATCACTGATGGACACTTCGTTGCTTCTACCTTTTGCGTATTGTAAATAATAATACTTGAACAGAAGTGTACAAATTTAGCTCTGTATTTTGTATATTTCCCTCCAAGTCCAAGTTTGTACTAGATTCAATTTTAATAAGTTAAAAATTCCACTGAATATTGGCAATTCCATATGGTTCAACTAAACAATATGTATAAATGGGAACAGCAGATGGCATAATGGCTATGTCACTGGATTCCTACATAGTTGACCACAGTTTGAGTCCCAGATCTGGCGACTTAAAACTCACACGGGGCGTGTGTGTGTGTGTGTGTGTGTGTGTGTGTGCCCAAGACCCCAAGAGGAGAATGGAGGAGAAGGGATTGTGATGTGGCCATTCCCCCTGGGGGTGATTTCTAGCTTTCTGTCTCTCTCTCTCTCTGTCTCTCTGGGAAGTGTGTGTGATCTCTAGCAAAAATCTCTCTCAAAAAACAAACAAGCAAGCAAACAAACTTATACATATAAATAAGCAAGATGTGACCCTGTAAGTGTCCTGTGTATGTCCTGTTTGTGATATTTGTCTGCCTATGTGGCTGTCTTGAAGTATTTAGTCACACATCAGTATATATGTAAGTATGTGCAGGTCTGTTTGTGTGTACAAGTGTCTGGGTGATGGAGGTGATCCTTAACTAACTCCGGATTGTCATACTGAGTGTGGGTACAGGGAGCTGCACTGAGGGGGCAGGGTGGGAAGACTGAGCTGAAAGGACAAGGGCTCCAGCATATCTCCAAAATCCCAGTAATAATAGCATGTAAATCAAATCTAGTCTCCTAGGACTGCAGGACTCCATGCAATGGAGCTGAGTGTGCAAAGGCCAATGGGAGGGCAGATAGGTGGACCCTGGCCTTGGGGCTGGGCCTTGGGGTGGTAGCCCAGAGTGATGGGAGCCACAGACAGATCCAAGCCCAGTCAGTCTCTGGCTGGAGTGTGTTGGCCACGGGCCTTTTAATGACTATTATTAAGAAGAAAGACAATATTTTTCTGCCCAGGAGGTATGTCAGACGACTGCCTGGTATGACTTGGCCATCCTGGGGGCCATTTAACTTTGTCTGTCATCAAGCCAATTGGGCGCCTGGGCAGGTGGCTGTCATGTGGGGGTGGTGGGAGTGGAGGCTGAACTGAGGCCCACCAGTCACAGGCCACTATGATGCC